GTATTGGTTTATACTTAGCTAAGCGTCCCAATGAAAACACAGGACTCCTGCCCAGCTTGGGAGACCCTGCCGGGGAGATGAGTCCACCCGCTGTACATCCCAGCCCGACACCCAACAACACCTCCTAGCCACAATGAGGGGTAAACCGTTGGGAGGTGTCGGGACAGATAGTGTTTTCATCTCTTCATTAGGGAAAGCTACTGCTTCTCTGCATCAGAGGTAAGCAGGTTTGTTACCATATTCACTGAAAAATGTTTCGCTATGGCTTTCCTATTTTGTCAGCAGTCAATAATTTATTTTTTAAAGGCATTTAGTTTTTAAAATGCAGTTGTTCCTTGAATGCACTGACTTTTCACTACATCGTCTCATACTGTATTTGCTTTAGAAATGTCAGTGCAGTGTAGCAAGTTATCGCTATCCATCACCGCTACAAATACCTTTCGTGGTTTTACTATAATGCTTATAAGTTCCAAATAGTCTGCAATCTATAGCTGGAGGGGTGTCCCTGGATTCCATACCATGATGTACAGCGATTGTTCAATCCACAGCAGGGTCTCCCACATTGAGGAGCGACATCTTCAATAAAGATTTGCTAAGAAGAAACATACGTCATGGCAGAGTGCGAGGTGCTCCCATGGCTATCTTCTCACGTAGAACAGTAGTGATAGAGCATAGCGCACCAGAAATGTGATGTGTTTAAAGTCTTTTGTGCGAGTTTGCTAAGTCCTGAAAATGAATAAAGTTTCTTCGCTCCCATTTGAGTTAGCCGTTGGTTACGAATACCATACTTAACAACCGTTATTTCTAAAAATAAAATCAGAGCTCTCGATAATCGCGAGAATATCACGTCACATGAGAGCCCTATTGCTCCAAGATAAATGTTACGTAAAGCGCTCTATGATTTTAACGTCTAACTGCTTCTCTCTGCAGATTTCAACGACACTTTTCTTTTCGAAAAAGACTTGATGTCGACGGCCTTCGGTAGAAGTAGACTGTTTTCAACCCTCAATTGTATCAGCTCAACCATGCAAAAAAATATCGTCTCCAACTCTGCTTAGTAAAGCTGCATACAGAATATCAAATAGAATACTTTACGATGAAGATCAGGTGATTCCACTCATGCCCTCGCACTTCTGCATCACAATTCTGTTTGAAAAAGGCCTCATAAGAAAGCATTAGGTATTGAAAAAAGAAGTCAGGCTGTGTTATTACAGAATTGCTCTGATCTCTTAGAATTAAAGGCAGTACTATATCCCTATGAGTTGTTTAATCTGCTGCCATAGAAACTTCTCCCTAAGCATTACTGATGACACCTATTGGACGTACAAAAAGACCAACGGATTAAACTGAAAGCGTAGTACGATATAACTTCAAATCGCTTGAATCATAGTCTAAACGTTAGATTTCTCTGAGGTGAAAATGAACTCAGGTGATAGCTAATTCTTCGTATTCTTGTTGAGCAAACCGGATGTGTTGTTTTTATTCTTTATTCACGAATAAGATGACGTTTCGGCGGATTTCACCTTCCTTAGAGCCTGGAAGGCGAAGTTGGCAGCAATCTATTCGCCCAAACTCCTCCATATTCAAACAAAGAAAACGCTAAACTAAGAGTTCAATCACATTGAACACAGCTTTGCACACTCACCGCTTTCCACCGAGTATGTCGCGTGAAGACCAATCGCAGAGAATTCACGTGAAAGGGTAATGTGCCCCTCCCATCAGAATAGCAGTCTTATATACTGCCCAATATGACGCATGATAATGAGGCATTCTTCCCTGCGGTTCATTTTCAGAACTCTGGAATTAATCCAGAATGCCTCGAGAGTTCCTCGCAACTGTGTTCTTGATTCGCGTGCAAGGATCGTGACACATACTTCAAAGTCCTCCCCGTTATGTCTCTGGGTACTATTCGTGCCTAGCGGCGTATTTGGTCTATGTTTGCCGACTAGGTGTTCGTTTATGCGGACACAGAGGGGTCTGCCCGTTTCGCCAATGTATTCGTCTTCGCACGCCTTACAAGATATCAGATAAACTATACCCGAGCTCATGCAATCACCGTCTCTACCACTGGGGCAAATTATGCAATTTTGAGTTGCACATAGACGGTCATATAGGCGGTTACGAACTAGCTGGCGCCTAAGATTACTCAGTGGTATTACAACTATACGTTTACCGACTTCGCTAGACCTGCCCTTCTTAAGCAGCGTTTTATAGCTGCACTTACTTTGAGATGAAGGGTAGGACAAACGGGACCTTTCTATCGCTAGAGTTGTCGTTTTGGGGTCCCCCATTTCTCCCACACCTACTACAGTTTCATAGCCATTAGAAACGGCTATTTGCCGTGCCAAGTTCCGGTACTCCTCTCTGTGCTCTCTTCCTGTGCACACGTTGGCTGCTGTTCGAAATATGTTTCTTACAAGCGCCCTTTTCGGGTGAGATGGGTGAGAGAAGAGGTAATGAACCAAGATGTTTTCATTACTTTGCTTTCGGTACAACTTCGTAATGTAGCCGTTTTTTGATAGGTTAATTTGCACGTTCAGAAATGGAATCCAGTTTTCTTTTGGTTTCTCTCGGGTGAATTTAATATATTCTGACTGTTCGTTCAACAACTCGAAACATCTGTCAATTTCCTCTTGTGTTGAACAAAGGACAAAACAGTCATTTGTATATCTACGATAGAGCAACGGCCCGAGATCGGTTATTGGTGCTTCCACCTTAAACATAAACGCAATGGCAAGCCTTGGTGCCAGTCGTTGTCCCGTTGCCAACCCTCTTATTTGAGCGTAGTACTTTCCAGACCATCTGAAGATTGAGCAGCCCAAGCATTCTTTTAAGAGTGCCATCAGGTGCTCTATCCTGAAGCCATACATGTTTATTTCTCCTTCGTGTTGTGTAAGGAGTTCGAATATGGCTTGCATTGCGGAGTCATTCGACACGTTTGTATAAAGGGCGGTAACGTCGAAGGACTCCATCACGCACGCGCTGTTGGGCTGCGCAGTACGTAGACGATCCAGAAACATCTGGGTATTCGTAAGATGGGCTGGAATGTGTTTCAACAACTGGGTAAATATTAGGGTTAAAAACCACGTTATCCTATCCCTTAACCCGTTTACGTAGCTAATGATAAGTCTAACCTTAAACTGATAGATCGGTATACGCAAGGTCATCGCTGGATACTAACTTATGAGTTTTTATAAGCAAGTGCAAGACGGGACATTTGGTGTGTCAACTTTTGGTTGAGAGATAACTGATGATTTTAAACCAGCAGCCCTTGCCACTTTGGCCCATTCGTGGTTCAATTTTCGTTATTTTCTTTTAAACTCCTTCTAAGATGATGGGCGATAAAGCGAAGCATCTTCAGGATGCTTTTCCGTTTTCTTAATATCTAACTGATGGGGAATTACGACAAACTCTCCACCCTTATCACTAACGGATAGTCTTATGTTTTTCAACCTTATCAGCTCTCGTACCTCTCGCATACCACGTCTTTGCACTGGAGTGAGGTTTGAGCTGTATATTTTCGCGCGATAGTGATTGTGGACTTTGAAAGTTTCATTCGTAAACATCCGAAATTTAACATCAACTTCATTATTGGGCTTTTGTTGTCTAAACAAAGGCTTTGGAAATGGTGCTATTGGTTCGTACCCCCACTTGGTGTTGTTCGTTGTTCGCACCTATTTTGCGTTTCATCTCTATCTCTTTGCGAAGTCTATCTTGAAGTTGCTAGCACATCTTGCAGTAGCTGCCACAACCGACTTTCTATTAACCTCGGCATTGATCAAGTAATTCTTCGTATTCTTTTTGAGCAAACGCGCGTTATTTTATTTCTTTATTTACGTACAAGCCGACGTCTCGGCGGATTTCGCCTTCCTCAGAACATAGAAAGGTGAAGTTGACAGCAATCTATTTGGCCAAACACCTCCATAACCAAACAAAGAAACCGCTAAACCAAGATTTCGATCACATTAAACACAGTTTTGCACACTCACCGCTTTCAGGTGATAGGTTCTATGACTATTCGACACCGAAATAGCTTATATATATATGTATATATATATATATGCAAGTAATGTTGTATCACACATAATTCTATAGTATTTCTTCCCCACTTTTTATTATACATCAAGATATAAACTTTACCGTACTTCTTTGGAAATGTTTCTTCCCAGCACTCAACTCTCCAACTCCACCTGAAGACGTTTTGATTCGGAAGGGAATTTGCTCACATATTCGCCCTTGTCCCACTTCGCCTCTTATTTCTGTACTGTCAACTCCAACAGATAATGGCGGTATCATGGCGTATCCAGCAGACATGCTTGGTATCTCACTAGTGACCTCTTTTCACAACAAACGGTTGCCATGAGCATTCGAAAGAGCACTGGACTCGACATGAGTTCCACCTCAAGTCACTTGATCTCGATATAGTTGCATGGGATAGTGCCACATTGACTTCTCTAATTGGTAGTCACCATGTCCTACAGATTCGCCACGGAATTGAACCGGTAAGATTTTCCACCTACGATCAATATTCCTTAGTCCCAACACCGACTTTTTAACCTCGGCATTGATCAATAATCCACTGTAGTTCTTGATGAGCAAACAAGAGGTTGTTATTACAGCAATTATTGATTCACAATGGCTGACGTTTTGATGGTTTCGCCTTCTTCAGAGCCTGAAAAGATTGAATTGACATCGTGAAAAAAGTCTAGTGAAAGTATAATCTATGACTTCTGTGTAGATTGTAATCGTTCCAGAGCTCTGTGTGAACTGATACCATCGTTCGAGTGTTGTTGGCTATGCGACCAAGTGGTAAAAGTGTCTGAGAAGCTCATCCATATGCAGGCGAGTACGATCTCCATCTATCGGCGATACCATCAGTACTCATCACTCTCGTTATAGTCTTTAACTGCATCTGATAACAGCGTCTACACCAAATCCTTCAGCAATAAAATTTAGTTATTAAAGTTATCCATTTATGATAAGAAAACTGGTGTTTTCAGATGATGCATGGAGAACTGCTCCAATTTTCATCACTAGAAGTGCTGAACGCGGCTCCAAAAATGAAATGCGACGAATGTCCGAAAAGGTGGGAAATTCTTTCTGTTCCCAGTTATCGATCAGTGTGGTACTCTCTCTAGTGCTTCGAACTAATTCATCTAAGAAAGTTCGTAACATCAATGACAGCCAATGACGACCATTCTTATTAGTTCAGATTCCACAGCTTCCTGTCGCTTCAGCGTCATATGCTAATGGATCATGACACGGCAATGCGTGGAGTGTGCAAGAATTACTTTGCAGGAAAAAGTGCTATGCTGTGTGGATACTGTGGAGAAGTATGTTATGTCTTCATTACGTATTTTTTTGAGCTTACCCTTCTTCTGTTAGAGAACAATGTGTTTGGAAGAGCTCTTGTCTTTGTAAAAAATCCTCTTTTTAAAAAAGTGTTTCTATTAAACTCGGGTATCTTTTTCTTTCAGTACGAAGGAAACATAATCGAACATCTACTGGAATCTCATGGAAAACACATCGCTATCTCATTCAAGCAGTAAGTATAGTAATCTTGAAGTACTTACAACGAATCTACTAGAACGAAGTGTCATAATTTTTGTGTTGTGTAGTACCACGTGTTTTACTTCAGAGCAGTTTGCCCAATATGCGATGATATGTTTGAGCAAAAAAATCTGACCTTCGACGAGCACCTGGTGCTCAACTGCAAATGGGCTGAGCCATCCGATGAAGAGATCTGAAAAGCACGAATTTCTGGTTCCATTCAAGAGCTCCTGTTCCACTTTAAATGATTTTCCCATAGTTTGGCTATAATTATATGCTTTGCTGAGATTATTTTGTGCTATTACCGTTCTGACGAACATTTGGTAAATATGTGTTAGTATATGGTGGATATTAATAGATTCCTTCCTAAGTTTTCTTATCCAATCCCAGAAGAAGGTTATATTTCTGTTGTTCAGCTATTCATGAATAGTAACATTTATTATATAAAATAGTTATAAAACATTTGCATTTCTTGAATGCTGAAAAGTTATTAAATATTTGCAAGATGAACAATGAACTATACATGATCGGTTTTGTGGGAAATACTTGGATACGTCGCTTTCTTGTTCAGCAATCGCGAGGTTTTTAAACAGCGTACATTTACTTCCATAGAAAAACACAGTACAGTACAACGCTAGCTGACGTTTCGGCAGTATCGCCTTCTTCAGAGCCTGGAAGGGCATGCTGATATACAATCTACTAGGCCAAACGCTTCAATAACACTTACAAAAAGACGAAAGACTCTTTGGTAATTACATGATCAACAACTTCTCGAAAAACTCACCACTTTTCACGTGACTTCCAATGAGGAAGTTTAGAACAGCTGATTATAGTCGCATATGCTTGACGACTGCACAAGAGATCAGGTATATCGTACCTGAACTCATGCAATCACCGTCCCTGCCGTAAGGGCAAATTACGCAATTTGTTGTTTCACACAGACGGTCATACAGGCGGTTGCGAACTAATTGGCGACGTAGAGTAGCCGGTGGTATTTCAACTGTCGCTACCGATTCCTCTAGACCTGCCCTTCTTAAGTATCGTTTTATAGCTACGCTTACTTCATCGTTTATACAAGGCAGCATAAACGGGACTTTCTTTTGGCCAAGTGTTTCGCGTGGGCGCGTCGCTCTCCTTCTAAACTTATCTCGTGGGGTTACTATTTCCTAGCCATTAGAGATGGCTATTTGCCGAGCCAAGTCGCGCCACTCTTCCTTTAGTTCCCTGGTATTGCACACAGAGATGGCTGTTCGAAACATGTTTCTCACAATCGCCCTCTTTGTGTGTGAAGGGTGGGAAGAAAGGAAATGAACAAGGATGTTCTTATTACTTGGCTTTCGATACCACTTTGTCAGGTAACCGCTACTTGATAGGTTTATTTGGACGTCCAAAAACGGAAGCCAGTTTTTTCTCGGTTTCTCACCGGTGAACTTAATGTACTCAGACTGCTCGTTCAGTAACTCGTAGTATTTGTCTATCTCCTCCTGCGTGGAGAAGACGACAACACAATCATCTACATATCTGCAGTAGAGTAGTGGCCGGAAATTGAGAACAGGGGCTTCTATCTTAGGCATAAACACAATGGCAAGGCTTGGTGCCAATCGCTGTCCCATTGCCAACCTCCTTATTTGCGCGAAATATTTCCCAGACCATCTGAAAATCGAGCAATTTAGGCATTCCTTTAAGAGAGCCATTAGCTGCTGGATGGACAAGCCATGCATATTTATTCTTCCTTCATGTTCAACAAGAAGTTCGAAGATGGCTTGCATTGCGGAGTCATTCGATACGTTGGTGTACAGTGCGGTAACGTCGAAAGACTCCATCACGTACGCGTTATTAGGAGACGCGTTACGTAGACGTTCTAGGAACATTTGGGTGTTTGTGTGGTGAGCTGGAATGTGGTTAAGCAGCTAGATAATTATCAGGCTTAAAAACCAGGTTATTCTATCCGTTGGCCCGTCTACACAGCTGATGATCGGTCTAACCTTAAATGATGACGGATTGGTTGACGCATGATCATCAGGTTATAGCAACTTATGTAACGATCAATGGGTCAGTGTGGCAAAGGCTGCGGGTTTAAAATCATCGGTTATTTCGCACTTTAAAATCGATAGACCAACATGTCCCGTCCTATACCTACTTATTAAAACTCATAAATTAGTATACAGTAGTGATCTTGTGTCTACCGATCCATCATTATTCAAGGTTAGACCTATTATCAGCTGTGTGGACGGGCCAACAAATAAGATGAAATGGTTTTTAGCTCTAATATTTACCCAATTGCTAAAACACCAGCAGCTAATGGCTCTCTTAAAGGAGTGCCTAAACTGGTCGATTTTCAGATCGTCTGGGAAATATTTCGCGCAAATAAGGGGGTTGGCAATGGGACAGCGATTGGCACCAAGCCTGGCCATTGTGTTTATGTCTAAGATAGAAGCCCCTGTTCTCGATCTCTGCCCACTACTCTACTGCAGGTATGTAGATGATTGTTTTGGCGTCCTCTCTAAGCAGGAGGAGATGGACAAATGCTTTGAATTATCAAGCAGTCCGAGTACATAAAGTTCACCCGGGAGAAACCGAGAAAAAACTGGCTTCTGTTTTTGGACGTTCAAATAAACCTATCAAGTAGCGGTTACCTGACAAAGTGGTACCGAAAGCCAAGTAACAAGAACATCCTTGTTCATTTCCTTTCTTCCCACCCTTCACACACAAAGAGGGCGATTGTGAGAAACATGTTTCGAACAGCCACCTCTGTGTGCACTACCAGGGAACTAAAGGAAGAGTGGCGCGACTTGGCTCGGCAAATAGCCATCTCTAATGGCTAGGAAATAGTAACCCCACGAGATAAGTTTAGAAGGAGAGCGACGCGCCCACGCGAAACACTTGGCCAAAAGGAAGTCCCGTTTATGTTGCCTTGTATAAACGATGAAGTAAGCGTAGCTATAAAACGATGCTTAAGAAGGGCAGGTCTAGAGGAATCGGTAGCGACAGTTAAAACACCACCGGCTACTCTACGTCATCAATTAGTTCGTAACCGCCTGTATGACCGTCTGTGTGAAACAACAAATTGCATAATTTGCCCTTACGGCAGGGACGGTTATTGCTTGAGTTCAGGTACGATATACCTGACCTCTTGTAATAATTGTGGAGATGAATATATTGGCGAAACGGGCAGACCTTTGTGTATCCGTATAAAAGAACACCTAGATGGCAAACGAAAACTAAGACAAAGCACCCCACAAGGCACGCATGGGATGCAAAAGCATAGCGGAGACGATTTTGAAGTAAAAGTCTATATCCTTGCACAGGAGTCCAAAACACCAGGCTTTTTGGAATAAATGCCAAAAACCCTACAATGAATAGCAGGGATGAATGCCCGGAGGTTATACGCGACCTGATCCCGTACGTTCGCATCGATTTTTGATGTGGGATGGTGCAGTCGTCGACCACATGCGACTATAATCAGCTGTCCTAAAGTTCCTCATTGGAAGTCACGAAAAAGCGGTGGCTTTTTCCAAGAAGTTGTTGATCATGTAGTTACCAAGGAGTTTTTCGTCTTTTTGTAAGTGTTATTGAAGCGTTTGGCCTAGTAGATTGTATATCAACATGCCTATAGAGAACATTCTTTACGAATATTGGAATGTTCTCTATGTGAATTAATTATAACCTTATGTCAAACATTTTCGAATACGGTTTCCGGTGACCTTTTCTCCATGACGATCTGATAACCTTATGTCAAACATTTTCGAATACGGTTTCCGGTGACCTTTTCTCCATGACGATCTGATAACCTTATGTCAAACATTTT